GTTCTGTGCTCCAGTCTCTGCTCTCGACACAAGGCCAGCATGGCCTTGTTGTCTACGTACAGCACTGGAGGAGAACGAGGCGGCTCTCCGAGGTCAGTCAGCAGGTAGGTGAGCCAGCGAAGCTCCTGTGCAGCCATGGCCCCGGCGTAGATCTCAGCCTCACAACTGGAGCCGAGAACAGAAGACGAGCGGGTAGCTCGCCACGAAACAGAGCCGGAACCAAGGCTGAAGGTGTAACCCTGTGACGACCGCTGCGTAGCCTGGTCGTCAGCCCAAGAAGCGTCTGCGTGCCCAGTGAGGACCACTGGACTCTGCCCTCCAAGCACAAGCCCCATGCCCGACGTACTGCACAAGTAACGCAACACCCTCTTCGCTGCAGCCATGTGCTCCGGTCTGTGTCTCCCAGGAGCAACATAGCGTGCGAGAATGCTAAGAGGGTATGCGAGGTCAGGTCGTGTGCAGGTCATCAGGTACATGAGGCAGCCAACAAGCTCTGGGTACGGGCCACTCGACTCTACGGACTCATCCGAAGGCAGAGCTGAGAGCGAGTGGCGAGTAGGCAGAGGAGTGGCCTGAGGCGAGGAGTACGTGAAGCCGAAGCGCTGAAGGACCTGCTGCACCATGTGTGACTGAGTCAGGGTAATGGTGCGGCGTGCTCTGTCCCGGGTGATCTGCAAGCCAAGGTAGCTGCGCAGTTCACCCAGGTCTGTGCACGTGTGTCTCTTCTGCAGCTTGGACTTCACGTGGGCGAGTCCAGCAGTGTCAGCTGTGGCAAAGACCAAGTCGTCGACGTACACGAGGATGTAGAACGGCGGCAAAGAAGTGTCGGTGCGCAGAAACAGCGACGGGTCGGCAGTAGAGGGAGCAAACCCAAGAGCCGCAAGTGTAGTCCTCAGTGTGTCGTGCCACTCACGCGGTGCCTGGCGGAGACTGTAGACTGGCCGCCGGAGGCTCTACTGGGTGCCAGGAGGAAAAGACCCAGTGAAGCCAGGTGGGCGACGCAGCCAGATCTCCTCGTGCAGGCTGCCCTGCAAGAAAGCAGTGCTGTAGTCAAGAGAGTGCAGCTCGTAGTCGCGGTGAGCAGCTATGTGCAGCGGTACCCGAAGAGTGGTCATCTTCGGGGTGGGAGAGAAGGTCTGAAAGTAGTCAACTCCCCGCCGCTGACTGAAGCCACGAGCCACGTAACGCGCCTTGAAGACAGGCGGAGAACCCGGCGGTCGCTTCACCCTGAAGATCCACATGCCACTGACGATGTTCGCCCCAGGCGGGGGAACCTCGTCAACGTAGGTGCCTGTGGACTTCCAGGAAGCCATCTCTGTGTCCATAGCTGCCTGCCACTAAGAGGAGTAGGGACCCTCTATCGCCTCCGCGTAAGAGCGCGGAGTCGGGATGTCAAGTGCATCCGGGTCTCCCTCAGGGGTAAGCAGTACGGACACGAGATGAGGTGAAGCAGCAGCCAAACACTGGAACTCCTCCTGCCTGTCCTCAAGGACGTCCGTGCCAAGGGCACACTCACCCCCGACGGACGGAGGACAGACAGACTCAGACTCAACGACAAGACTAGCAGCGTAGTCTAGACGACAGCGAGCAGCAAAGTCGACGAGCTCAGCAACTAGGGCAGACGCAGCAGTGGACTCAAAGGAAGGGTCAGTGACGACAGTAGCAAGGAGACGCGTGACAGTAGGACTGGCAGCACGAAGAGAGTCCGACTCCGGGTCGGGAAGAGCAGGAAGAGAGGACTCAGGAGGAGAAGGCAAAGGGGCACGCAGAGGAGCAGTGGACGGACGCAGAGACATCCGGTGCGTGCCAGGGACAGGAGGAGGACGCTGACGCGAACCACGACCACTAGTGCGAGCAAGACGGACAGGCGACGCAGGGCGAGACGCAGGCTCACGACGCTCAGCCAGACCTCCAGTAGGACCAGTGTAGGGAGAAGGAGCGGGGAGTGGGGAGGCCGGCTGTAACTGTAACTGTGACGGGACAGGCTGTGGACACTCTAAGGGAGGAGGAGGACCAGTAGAAGGCGGGAGACCAAGAACCTGCTGAAGGAGCGGAACGAAGTACGGCCGAGGCCGCGCGGCGACTCCAGACACAGCAGGGACAGCACCAGTACCCCCAGCGGCAGCACCAGCGCCAGCAGCACCGCCAGCTCCAGTACCTCCAGCAGCACCAGTAGCACCCCCAGCAGGACCGCCTCCAGAACCGACAGCAGTAGCCTCAGCGTCAACACCCTCAGCAGCTCCAGCTCCAGTCGTACCCGCAGGACCAGCAGCTCCAGTACTCCCAGTACGAGCACCTCCGGGACCCGCGGCACCAGCACCCTCAGCAGCCGAAGAACCTCCAGCTCCAGCAGCACGCCTCCAGCGCCGGGCAAACCACTCGCGCAGCTCCTGTGGAGAGAGTGGCTCCCGCTGAGACGAAGCACCCGGAGAACCTCCAGGCTCAGCACCGCGAGACGCCACACAAGCAAGCCCAGCTCCCTCAGGCTCCGCACCCCCAGGCTCAGCACCTCCAGGCGTAGCACCCCCAGGCTCAGCACCCCCAGGCTCAGCACCCCCAGGCTCAGCACCCCCAGTAGTAGCACCCCCAGGCTCAGCACCCCCAGGCTCAGCACCCCCAGTAGTAGCACCCTCAGGCTCAGCACCCCCAGGCGTAGCACCCACACGCTCAGTACCCCCAGAGTCAGTACCCCCAGGCTCAGCACCCTCAGCAGCACCAGAGTCACCAGTAACCTCGACAGGCTCGACTGCGTCTACCTGGGACACACCTGAAGGGGCAGGACCCTGAGGGGGGAGGGGGTCTACCGGGGGGGGACCTGGCACAAGGAAGAGCGGTGGCGGGGGGAGGGACGGAGTGCGGTAGGGGAAGAGGCGGTAGTAGGGGACCGACTCGTCAAACGTGACGTTTTGGGAGGACAGAACATGGCGAGAGGTGGGGTGGTAGAACTGCCACCCTGGCGCGTCAGGGGGGAAGCCAAGGAAGACGCAAGGAGCAGCACGAGGGGACAGCTTGTCCGCAGACAAGTCGCGGACAAACGCCCGAGATCCCCAGACACGGAACGCAGACGCATCGCCAACCTTCCCCGTCCACAGCAAAGCTGGGGAGGTCTCCGGCATGGAGACCCTGGGGTGAAGGTTGATCTGATGCGCCGCGTACCGAACCGCAAACGGCCACAGAAAATGGGGGGCAGCCGCATGCATCATGGACGTACGGGCGACGTCCATGACCATGCCAATGCGGCGCTCAGCAATCCCATTTTGCTGTGGAGAGTCCGGAAGCGTGAAGGTCTGGCGGATGCCTCGTGCACGACAGTAGGCTCGCAGAAGGCCAGAGGAGAACTCTCCACCTCTGTCAGAGTGCAGACGCAGAACAGGAAAGTCCGAGCCGAAGCTCTGCCTGAGCTGGAGACGAGCTGCGCGGATCCAGTCGATCAACACCTCAGTGACATCACCCTTGCTGCGCAAGGGGAAGACTGTGGTGTAACGCGAGTAGTCGTCAACCACCAGCAGGAAGTAGCGCTCGTGACCCTGTCCACGGACGCGGGCCGGGCCCCACACGTCCATGTGAAGCGTCTGCAGCGGGGCCTCTGTCGGAGGAAACTGGGAGGAGTGAGGGGCAGCCCGCTGCCGCCCCTCGACACAAGGGACGCAGGTAGGGCCGGGCCCCAAAGGAAGGGGAGGGAGGGACCGGGGAAGACCAGAGACAAGGACATGGGAGGCCATGCCTCGGAGACGAAGCAGGGAGGGGTGACCAAGGCGGTGGTGCCAGAGGAGAGTCTCGTGTGACAGGAGGCGACACGAACAGGGGGCAGACTCAGGACCAGACCTGGACGCTGCAGCAAACACCTGACCCGACGCAGCTACCTGACCAGATGCAGTGACTGGAGGAGACGCAGTGGTCAGTGTGTACAGGCTCGACCCCGGCCGACGTGTAAACGTGGCCATGTGTCGGCCTGTCCGAGCGTCCGTGCAGTGGGTCACCCGCTGACTCGCAGGAGTGAACTGGTGAACCCCCGCATCCTGTAGGTCAGCACCACTCACCAAGTTTGTAGAGAACGAGGGGAGGTAAAGACCAGACAGGGTGCCAGAGGGGGCCGCCGGACACGGGAGGACAGTGGAGAAGTGAGCAAGGACAGGACCCCCAGAGGGGTCTGCCAGAGAGACTGCAACTGGCCGGCCAAGCGGCGTGAGTGTGATGCAGTCTCGAAAGAAGGAGCGAGAAGCCCCCGAGTCAAGGGTGAAAGTGTGGGAGGCCGAAGCCGACACAGTACCTGAGAGAGCAGACTCACCAGCACCTGAGGGAGTAGACGCACGAGCACCTAGAGCAGCAGCCTCGCTAGCACCTAGAGCAGCAGCCTCACCAGTACCTAGAGCAGCAGTCTCAATGCCCGGGTCGGGCGGAAAACACCGGTAACAGTCACCCTCATCACTAATAGTCACAGCATACATGGCAGCAAGAATAGCATCAAAGTCAACGTCAAAGACAGCTACACCCGCCCTAGACAGCTCGCCCCAGCGAGGGATCTCAGTGGCCTCAGGGAACTGGTGACACCAAGCGTCCGTCAGGCGGCCAAAGCAGCGCTGGGTGGAGTGCGCACCCCCGCACTGCTCACCCGCGCGGTCGCCGGTGCGTAGGACGTAGGTGCACGGACCAGTACCCCCACCCCGCTGGCGTGCAGCGTACTGTCACGAGACGAACTTAGCTAGGAACGGGGTTTAATTAAGGGCCTAGGCTTAGAAGCCTAGGCCAAGCGGGTGTCGAGGGAGTTGTGCCAAGGGAGAATCGAGAATGTGTTGAGGTTCACTATAGCACACGAGTACATATAGCAACCTAACAAAGATGAAAGAGGTGCACCACCATACAAGGGAATTACACAACAGCTACACTACAGGCAGATTATACTAAATAGATATAAATCTATTGTGACACACCCCCTATCTGCCTGAAGTGCATAACCATGTGCAGAGCCCCCCTTGAAGGGGTACACCTGTAAAACCCCATTACAGGGCGTGGGAACACCAGCAAGGGGCCCCCTCTGAAGCTGACAAGCAGCAACCACCAAGCAGCATCTGAACCACCGCGGTGGAACAGGTGCCTGGTTGCGGTTGAACGCCCCGCAGCTGGTGCACGGTGTGCGAGGAGCACGGGTACGGGTAGCGGGTTTGGGTAGCAACTAGGAGCTGGACGGGACGGGCCGCATGGGGGTGACGAGCAGCACGAGACCGGGCAGCACAGACCGGGTGGGGCACGAGCGAGAACTGACAGCACGGGTGGGGCACCAACGGGTACGGACAGCACGGGTAGGGCACAAACGGGCAGAACGGGGCAGCACGGGCAGAACAGGGCAACACGGGCAGAACGGGGCAGGACACGGGCTGAACGGGGCAACTCGGGCAGAACGGGGCAGCACACGGGCTGAACGGGGCAACACGGGCAGAACAGGGCAGAACACGGGCTGAACGGGGCAAGACACGGGCTGAACGGGGCAACACGGGCAGAACAGGGCAGAACACGGGCTGAACGGGGCAGGACACGGGCTGAACAAGGCAACACGGGCAGAACAGGGCAACACGGGCTGAACGGGGCAACACGGGCAGAACGGGGCAGGACACGGGCAGAACAGGCAGCACGGGCAGAACGGGGGACACTGGGCGCGGGTAGAACACGGGCAGCAACTGGAGACACGGGTGGGCACGGGCAGTATGGCACGGGAACGGGCAGCAACACGGGCAGGATCACAGGCAGAATCACGGGCAAAATCACGGGCGACAACACGGGCAGAATCACGGGCAGAATCACGGTCAGGATCACGGGCAGAACACGGGCAAAATACGGGCAGCACACGGGTATGATCACGGGCACAATCACGGGCAGCAGTACGGGCAGAATCACGGGCAGGATCACGGGCAGAACACGGGCAGGAAACGGGCAGAACACGGGTATTATCATGGGCACAGGCTGAACGGGGCAACACGGGCAGAACGGGGCAGGACACGGGCTGAACGGGGTAACACGGGGAGAGCCGGGCAGCACGGGAACACGGGGGGCAGCACGGGAGCACGGGGGCAACACGGGAACACGGGGGCAGCACGGGAACACGGGGGCAGAAAGGGAACACGGGGGCAACACGGGAATGGGCACGGGGCAAGCACGGCGAACACGGGCGGACAGCACGTGCATGGGCACGGGGCAAGCACGGGGCGAACAGGAGCACGGGAAGCACGGGGCAGCACGGGACGAACGAGAGCACGGAACGCACGGGACGAACGGGAGAACGGGAGCACGGGAGCACGGGAACGACGGGGTAGCAGCACGGGAGACACGGGGCGGGGGGATGACAGGAGGAGGAGTGGTGGCAGTTGCTGCAGCTGGAACATCCACCCACACCCCCTAAACCTCCCCCTTACATGAGCCGCCAACTCCGCCACTCCCCCTACCCCAGCCGTCCCCCACGGGCCAACACCCCACCTCCTCCCCCTCCTGCTGGAAATGGGGACGGAGATGGAGGTGGGATGGCATTTGTCGGTGGGGGGTCGGGATCTGGTGCAGAACGGCGGTCTGGGTGCAGGTACGGGGTGCGGACGGGTCTCGCGGACAGGAGCACGGACGTTGTGCGTGGTGCGGGTTGCGTACGGGCGACGGGCGGGGTGCGGGGCGCGGGTGGCGTACGAGCGGCGAGTGAGGTGCGGGGCGCGGGTCGCGGACGATCTGTAGCGTGCAGTGGCGGAGCAGCAGCTTCTCCCGCCACTCCCGCCACGCCCGCCATTCCCGCCACTCCCTTCACAGTAGCCGCGAAGTCGACGGGAGGGCGGGCAGGGACGGAACGGGACGAGACGAAACGCGGGCAAGCGCTGGTGCTCAAATGACGGTCGCCACCCTTTTCCCCCTCTCCTCTCCCCCCCCCATCGCGACCGTCGACGTTTCCGCGACAGTGAGCCGCGACGAGGCAGCGTGACGGGGAAGGGCGACGGGGAAGGAAGCGGCGGTTCGAGAGGCCGACGGGGGGCAAGAGCAGCGGCGCGAAACAGCGGGTCGACGAACGCCGTCACTCCCGCCGCGACCGTCGTGTCCGTCACGACTACCGTGACGGATTTTGCTACGGGCGAGCGACGGGGAAGGACGGGACGCGCCATCACGATAACTAACGGTGGGCCCTTTAAAAAATAGGTCGGGAACGACCTAGCTCAATACCATGTCACGAGACGAACTTAGCTAGGAACGGGGTTTAATTAAGGGCCTAGGCTTAGAAGCCTAGGCCAAGCGGGTGTCGAGGGAGTTGTGCCAAGGGAGAATCGAGAATGTGTTGAGGTTCACTATAGCACACGAGTACATATAGCAACCTAACAAAGATGAAAGAGGTGCACCACCATACAAGGGAATTACACAACAGCTACACTACAGGCAGATTATACTAAATAGATATAAATCTATTGTGACACGTACCACTCACGGAGCTGCTGAGGGGGGGGGATGTCACGAGTGCGCTGCTGCCGCTGCTGCTGCTGCTGCTGCTGGCGCTGACCACCACCGGAGCCGACCCTCTGTGCAGCGCCACCCCGACCAGCTCCACCTCCTCCGCCGCCGCCTCCTTCACCGCCGCCACCTCCGCCACCTCCGCTCCCACCGCCACCGCCGCCGCCGCCTCCGCCTCCACTGCCGCCACCGACACCTCCACCCCCGCCACCACTCCCACCACCACCCCCACCCCCTCCACTGCCGCCACCGCCACCTCCGCCACCCCCGCCAGCCCCTCCAGCACCCTTGCCCCCCTTGCCCTTGCCGGTGCGGCGTCTCCCGCTCGGGGCAGACGCAACGCCGACCGACTCGAAACCAACGAGGTCGGCCGCAGCAGCAGAGGCAACAGAGGGCAAAAGGGGGGAGGGGGAACACCCCTCAAAGACGGGGGTGCGAGGGTCACCACGAGAGGCTCCTACAGCGACTATGCTCTTCTCTGCTGCTAGGAGGGCCTTCTCGAGGAGGTCAACGGTGAGAGTGGTGGGGCAAACTGGAGGAAGTGGTCCCTGACTACGCGAAGGGAGTCAGGGAGCCGGGTGACTATGTAGTAGAGGGTGATGTACATGGGGGGGGGGTTCTTGGCGCAGAACTCAGCAGGAAGCGCAGCGCGGTAGCGAGTGTCACTAGTGCGGAGGTGCGTAATGAGGCCAGCCACTGTGGGAAAGGCAGCAAGGTCAGGGAAGAGGTACGGTAGCATGAGGCGGCTCAGTGCAGCAGTGGCAGGGGAGGAGTAGCGCGCAACTACAGCGTCGCACAAGGTGTGAGCACTCTTGTACTGGCTAAAGTGCGCACGCTCAGAGGTAGGCAAGTGGCGACGCACAGCAAGACGTGCAGCAGCATCGCGTGTGGCCCACTGTGAGCGAACAGTGGCGTCAGCATCAGCAGCGGGGGCAGGGGAGGCACCAGAAGTGAGATCAAAGAGGGAGAGACCGTCTGCCCTATCGCACTGTAGGAAAAGCTGCAGGTCATCTACCCAGACGTCAAAGTCAATGGCCCGACCCTCAGCATCAAAAGCGAGGACACTGGGGGTAGCCATGACAGCAGTAGACTAGCAGCACGAGCAGTAGGCTAAGGGCAGCGCAGTAGTAGAGGTGCTGCTCTTACCGGGCAGGCAAGACGGACCGAGTGTAGAGGACAGGGCGGCTCGGACGGCTCGGCGGCTCGGCGGCTCGGCAGCACCAGCAGGTCGGCAGCTCAGCGACTCGGCGGCTCGGGTGGCTCGGCGGCTCGGGCGACTCGGGCGGCTCGGGCGGCTCGGGCGGCTCGGGCGGCTCGGGCGGCTTGGCGGCTCGGGCGGTTCGGTGGCTCGGGCGGCTCGGGCGGCTCGGGCGATTCGGCGGCTCGGGCGGCTCGGCTGCTGCAGGGGCAGCGGCGGCTGCTGCTCACAGGACGGCGGCGGCAGTTGCTGCTGCAGGGCCGGCGGCGACCGCTCCTGTAGGGACGGCGGCGGCCGCGGTTGCAGTGGCGGCGGGTGCTGCTGCAGGGGCGGCGGATGCTGCTGCTACTGGGACTGCGGCCGCGGTCGCTGTAGCGACTGCAACTGCTGCTGCTGTAGAGGCGACGGCGGGCCGAGAGAGGCCGCGAAGGGCGGCGGACGGGCCGTGAAGGGCGGCACGAGGGGCCGCGGAGGGCGGCGACCGGCCGTGAAGGGGCCGCGAGTGGCCGCGGAGGGCGGCGACGGGCCGTGAAGGGCGGCGCGAGGGGCGGCGGAGGGCGGCGACCGGCCGTGAAGGGGCCGCGAGTGGCCGCGGAGGGCGGCGACGGGCCGTGAAGGGCGACGCGAGGGGCCGCGAAGGGCGGCTACGGGCCGTAGGGGGGCCGTAAGGGCGGCGCGAGGGGCCGGAAGGGCGGCGCGAGGGGCCGTAAGGGCGGCACGAGGGGACGTAAAGTGCGGCTGGAAGGGCCGTCAGAGGGGCCGCTAAGGGCGACGCGAAGGGGCCGTAAGGGGCCTAGAGAGGGCGCGACGGTAGGGAGGGCACGCGGGGCGCGACTCGGGCAGGAGCGAAGCGCGCTCCGGGCAGGAAAAAAAAAAAAAAATCGATTGGTGGGCCCTAGGAAGCGTTCCCACGAGGGAAACCGCTCTATACCATGTGAAATAACGAGGAATGAATGACTAAGGGAAAGGTGGGTACAAATGTAAACCCTAGAAAACTGTACCCCATATGTGCTACCCCACTATAGCCTACAGTAGCTATGTCATATAAATCTGACAATAATGGCTCCAGGCAGAGGCAGGAGGCAGCAGGCAGCAGACAAGAGGCAGCAGGCACCAGGCCACAAGCAAAGGCAGAGGCAGCAGGCAGCAGGCAGGAGGCAGCAGGCAGGAGCGGCCGCACGCGAGCCCCTAAAGCAGCACGCTAAGCAGCAGCGGGCCGTGCAGGTGGCCGACGCGACGCGCGGCGCAGCGGCGGGCCGCGCTGGCGACAGACGCAGCGCGCGGGGCGACGGCGGGCTGCACGCGACGGCGGGCTGCGCGCGGCGGTGAGCTGCGCGGGCTCGACGCGAGCTGCGCGGGCGACGCGGGCCAGCGCGCGGCGCTGCAGCAGTGGCGCGCGCTAAAAACAGTGACGCGCGCGCTGAAAACAGTGACGCGCGCGCTAACAGCCGAGGCGCGCGCGAGAAAAAAAAAAAAAAAAAAAAAAAAAAAAAAATGACGCGCGCTGCAGCCGAGGCGCGCGCGGGCAGTAGGCAAGGCAGGTAGGGTAACACAGTTAGGTGGGCCCGATTCTTAGGTCCTAGAGACCTCCTGCTCTAGTTACCATGTTGAGACTAAGTCATAGGGAACGATTGATTAGGTGAAGATTGGGGTACAAGACTAGAGTGTCGAGATTGTTTGTGTCCTAGATAATAATAAGCATATCTTTTGACAAAACTGTACCTTTCATTGATGCCATTTCAAACGAGTCGAAATAATATAGCGTCACAAAGCAGAATCGCGCGCAAGCGATTCTGCTTCCTGCACACCAGCAAGTTCACCTCACTTTGCAGGCATGCCAGCACATCCTGATTGGACGCGCAGCCAGTCAGGTCTTCGCGAGTCAAACGAAGCGAAGATGAAATTTGGCTCGCTGCGAAAATGAAACTCGTTACCGTTTTAAACAAATTTATAATTTCAAAATGTATGTGCGCTTATAATAAATTAAGGTTTTCCAGGGGGGGCGCTTATAATCGAGTTTCGGCCATAAGCGCCATGCTCCAGATAGAAGCGCCGGCGCCTTTAATCGGACGGCGCCTATATCCGGGGCCATACGGTACACCTATTACCATAACGCACATGTTACTATAACACACCTGTTACCATATCGCACCTATTAGTATAACGCGCATGTTATTATAATGCACATATTATCGTAACGCACATGTTACCATAATACACATGTTACTATAACGCACATGTTACCATAACGCACATGTTACCATTACGCACCTGTTACTATAACGCACGTGTTACCATAACGCACATGTTACCATAATCCACATATTACCATAATCCACATGTTACCATAACTCACCTATTACCATAACCCACTTGTTACCATAACACACTTGTTACCATAATACGCTTGTTACCATAACACACTTGTTACCATAACACACATGTTACCATAACCCACCTCTTACCATACATGTTACCATAACGCACATCTTACCTTAACACACATGTTATGTTACTATAACGCACCAGTTACCATAACGCACATGTTACCATAACGCACCTATTACCATAGCACACCTGTTACCATAACGCACCTGTTACCAAAACGCACATATTACCATAATACACCTATTACCATAACGCATCTGTTACCATAACGCACTTGTTACTATAACGTACATGCTACCATAACACACATGTTACCATAACGCACATATTACCATAGCGCATATGTTCTCATATCTCACCTATTATCGTAACGCACCTGTTGCCATAATGCACATGTTACAATAACGCACGTGTTACCATAACTGACATGTTACCATAATGCACATGTTACCATAATGAACATATTTCCATAACGCACCTGTTACGGTACCATAACGCACCTGTTACCATAACGCACCTGTTATAGTAATGCACTTGGTGTCAGAATGTTATCTTATGCTCTAGCCTGTAGTGGGGTGCTCTATAGCGAGTACAACCCTTCTAGGGTTTCCTATTTGTATCCCCATTCTTGCTAGTGCAATCCTCTTCTTCCTTCTTCTTTCTTCTAAACTTTAACATGCTATCAGAGCAGGTCGATCCCCTTGGATCGATCCTGTGGGTGGGCTCACCACCTTGTTGCTTCCGCTGCAACTGCTACTGCTACTCTCTGTGCCGCACGCTTCGTGGCGTGCGGCAGTTTTTCTTCCCGCCGTGCGCCCCGAGGCGCGCGGCGGTTTTCTGCCCGCCGTGCGCCCCGAGGCGCGCGGCGGTTTTCTGCCCGCCGTGCGCCCCGAGGCGCGCGGCGGTTTCCTGCCCGCCGCGCGCCCCGAGGCGCGCGGCGGGTCGCGCGACCCCTACAGCCCCGTCGCGCCGCCCAGGGGAGCCGCGCGCGACCCCTGCAGCCCCGTCGCGCCGCCCAGGGGAGCCGCGCGCGGCCCCTGCAGCCCCGTCGCGCCGCCCAGGGGAGCCGCGCGCGGCCCCTGCAGCCCCGTCGCGCCGCCCAGGGGAGCCGCGCGCGGCCCCTGCTGCCCCGTCGCGCGGCCCTGCTGCCCCGTCGCGCTGCCCAGGGGAGCCGTGCGCGGCCCCTGCTGCCCCGCCCCGTCCCCGACCTGCCCCGGCCCCGACCTGCCCCGGCCCAACTCCCGTCGCCTGTCGAGGCGACCCTGGGGGGGGCCGTCTACCGGGGGCCGCGCGTTGCCCCCCCCCCCCCCCCCCCCCCCCCCCCCCCCCCCCCACCTCCCTACCCTGTTTTTAGGGTTTGGGGGGTAGTGGTTGGGGGGTGGCGGTTGGGGGGTGGCGGTTGGGGGGTGGCAGGTGTGTGGCGTCGCCTGCTCCTCCTCCTCCTCCGTCTCCCTGTGCTGCAGCTGCCGCTGAGGGGGGGTGGACGTGTTGGAGCCGGTGGAGTGGTACTAAGGGGGGGTGAAGGGGGAGTGGAGCTAGCGGTGTAGCAGCGGGTGTGTGCCAGGGGGGAGTGGGATAGTTTGGGGAAGCTGAATGGAGGTTGCCGTCGTGTCGCCAGCAGCACCTGTATTCCGGGGACTTCGTCCGGTAGCCCAGTCGTAGCCAGCTGTGCCAGCCGCCCGTGGGTCCGTTGCTCGTCTGCCGCTACTTTAGCCGCGGGGCCTGTTACTCCTGTATTCCGGGGACTTCGTCCGGTAGCCGCTGTGCCAGTCTGCCTCCTGTTGCCCGTGTGTCTGCAGCTTCAGCCGTCGCCCCCTATCTCCTCTCCTCTCACTCTCTCTCCTCCTCCTCACTTGCCCGTTGTGACTACCACTAGCTTTGCTCATAATTGTGAACTTAAACTATTGCTTCTTGAACTTGTGCTCAGAATGTGTGGTGACATTGTGATCCACCCTGAGCTTGTACTCCTTTGCTTCCTCTGCTGATTACACCCCACTTTGGCTATGGGGGTGTGTCAGAATGTTATCTTATGCTCTAGCCTGTAGTGGGGTGCTCTATAGCGAGTACAACCCTTCTAGGGTTTCCTATTTGTATCCCCATTCTTGCTAGTGCAATCCTCTTCTTCCCTCTTCTTTCTTCTAAACTTTAACACTTGGCACCGTAACGTCCCTGTTACCATAACGCGTCTGTTACCATAACTACCCGCCAATGGGCACCAGGGATGCTACATTGACTATCGGGGAAGGGCTACAGATGCAGAGCCGAGGGGGGGGGTTAGAGGCGTTTTCACCCGCTACTTGGATTTGTCAGAATCTCAACCACTAGACCATTGGGATAAAATGACTTGTTAAGTAGCGGGTCAGTGCGCCCATAACCCCTCAGGATAACGAGCATGTAACCCTTCTCTAAGATCAATCGGGGATCACCTGTGGACCTCTGACACCCCCCCGCATTGGGATGCCCGAAGTGCACACACTGGGATTCGAACCCGAGACATTCGCTCTGATACCATGTCAGAATCTCAACCACTAGACCATCGGGATAAAAGGGCTTGTTAAGTAGCGGGTCAATGCGCCCATAACCCCCCAGGATAACGAGGCTGTAACCCTTCCCTAAGATCAATCGAGAATCACCAGTGGACATCTGACATGATTCGAACATGGTATCAGAACGAAACGTCTCTGGTTTGAGTCCCCATGTACGGTACACGCCCATGTCGATGTCACTGTGTAGTGTTCCAATGTATCCCTGTGAGGGGGGATGCCTAATTGTTCCTCAGAGAGAGCTTCAGGTGCAAAGCCCGGGGGTTTATGGGTGCACTCACCCGCTACTTAACAAACCATTTTATCTCAATGGTTAGGTGGCTAAGATTCTGACATGTAGCATATGTTGTGGGTGCGTTTCATTTGCATTGTATGTACTTGTAAACTTTGTAAAATACTGTACCGGTAGTGGTCTCATTTGGAGCGAGCACGTGTAGTAGATAAACCTTGGTTGGTGTAAACAAAATGTGTGGTAGGTGGTGCTATTGAGCACTATACTACTCATGCTTTCATCCTTGCATCAAACATGTTGATGTGGCCAGCACTGTAATGTTTTGGTGCAAGAAGTGGTATAAATACTGGTAGATGACCTGAGTTGTAAAAACAATATTAAACATGATACAAGCGGATAAGTGCACTAGCACAAACACACTTGGCAAACACTGCTCTCTCTGGCTCATTAAACGTCAGTGGATGAAATTAGAGGCGAACTCGTTTGTGATAATGGTGAGTGCGAAGCCAATGATGAGCGTGAGCGTGACATTGCCACCTGGGACAAGGCGTGGCTGGTCTGTGACTGGGCGGAGAGAGGCTCGGTCCACCCATGCCATGGCTGCTGGTAGGATGCCAAACAGCACCAGCACTGCCAGGCGAGACGAGGACGAGGCGGGAGAGAAGAGGTAGAGGAGTGAGTGATGGGGGAGAGGAGGAAATGATGTGGTAGAGGAGGGAATGATGAGGGAGAGGAGGTAGGGAGGAGGAAGAGGAGGAAGATGAGGGAGAGAAGGGTGGAGAGGAGGGAGTGAAACAGGAGATGACGGAGAGGCGAGGAGAGGAGGGAGGGAGAAGAGGGAGTGAAGAACCAGAGGAGACGGGGAAGGGAAATAACTGGTAAGCAAGCGCGTGAATGTGGGAATAAGGCGGTGAAGCACATGGACTTTGCGCACATGGACCAGACCTGAACCTGCAAGTGGCCAGAACTAAGGCAGTCCAAGCTGAACATCTAGTGATGTGTGTGTGTCTGCCAGTGTGTGTCTGCCAGTGTGTGCATGTGCTCTGTGCCCTCCCCTCTCACGCACCTCCGTATGTGCCGGCAAGGTCGAGAGCGGTAAAGAAGAGGTCGGGGTTGGAGAGGGAGAAGGCGAGCGGCGGGGCGAGTGTGAGGATGTACGGCAGAGGGGTGCGCCCCCGGCCGGATGGAAGCTTGAGTGCTGGAGGGTGGAGGGGGGTCGGGGAGTGAGGGCGAAGAGAGGAGGTAGAGAGGGAAGAAGTAAGTGGGGGGAAACTGTGCATTGGGGAGGAGACAAGTGGGTGCTGTTGCACGGGGAAGAAAAGTGTGAAAGAGCTTGTGAGGAGGGAAACTAGGGCAGAAAGGGCCTATCAATGGGGAATCGTGGCTGGAGAGCAGGTGGATGGGAGAGATGGTGTGAGAGAGGGCTGTCGTGGCGAGTGTGTAGAGGGTTGCGCGGGTACCGTCAGCAAGGAAGTCAGAGAGGCCGAGGATAAAGCCGATGTATGATGTGGCAATGGCAAAGAAGGAGAACAGCTGCACCGCCCCCTGCACACAGTGGGCCATGGAGTGCGGTTCACATGGGAAAGAGGAGAGAGAAAGCATGTGAGGGAGGAGGTGGTCTCATCAATGCCTGCAGGTGGTGTGCCTGCCTGGCATGGACGAACAGAAGCAGCAACGAAGGCAGTTATCCTGCCTGGAATGGACGAGCACCCATCAAAGCGAGAACCTCACCCCAACGGAAGGGTCAATCTGCTGCAGGCGAGCCAGAGGATCCACCACCTTCATGGCTTCCGCAGCAGCCACCGCAGCAGACGGCGCAGTAGCTGCTGCAGCATCGGAGGCCATAGCGAGGGCATCGACGAGTGGTTGAGGAGGGGGTGGGATTGGAGCAGTGCCGAGGATGGCGGCGTCCCAGAGAAGGAACATGAGGAGAGGGAGCGCTGTGCCTGCTAGGATGGCTGTGCGGATGCGCGGTAGGTTGCCCTCTAGGTTTGTAGCTACCACTGGCACCACGTTCTGATGCATGCCGCACAGGGGGTGGGGAGACGGGAGGGCGATGGGTGAAGGGAGGAGAGCAACACAAAGCCCCGTAGAGCATCAAACACATAGAGCAGCAGCAGTAGACAAGGGATTGGGCGACAAGAAAGAAGAGCGCATAGTATGAAGCACGGAAGGTACGGCAGCAGAAAGAGTAGCACCTGGTAGACGAAGGAGAGGGCGATGATGGGGACGCTGGCAGGGACGGCAGCGATGTTGGCGGCGAGCAGGGCTTGCGGGTGGATGTCAGCAAGGGAGAAGGCGAGCAGGAAGGCGAAGGACAGCACTATGCCCGCCACCAGCATGCCGTTCACCAGCCCTATGGCCCGCTGGCTGGGGTGGATGCATGGATGCATGGGTGTGTGGTGGGGTCAAAAATGGTCGGTTGTATGGATACATGGTCATACACGTGGTTGGATGGAGTGGTGGGACGTGGTGGAGCGTATGAGTGGGCGGTGCAGTGTATGAGCGGGCGGTGCAGCTGATGAGCGTGCGGTGCAGCTGATGAGTGGGCGCTGCAGCGTATGAGCGGGCGGTGCAGCGTATGAGCGTGAGGTGCAACTGATGAGCGTGCGGTGCAGCTGATGAGCGGGCGGTGCAGTGTATGAGCGGGCGGTGCAGCGTATGAGCAGGCGGTGCAGCGTATGAGCGGGCGGTGCAACGTATGAGCGGGCGGTGCAGCTGATGAGCGTGCGGTGCAGCTGATGAGTGGGCGCTGCAGCGTATGAGCGGGCGGTGCAGCGTATGAGCGTGAGGTGCAGCTGATGAGCGTGCGGTGCAGCTGATGAGCGGGCGGTGCAGCGTATGAGCGGGCGGTGCAGCGTATGAGCGGGCGGTGCAGCTGATGAGCGTGCGGTGCAGCGTATGAGCGGGCGGTGCAGCTGATGAGCGTGCGGTGCAGCTGATGAGCGGGCGGTGCAGCGTATGAGCGGGCGGTGCAGTGTATGAGCGGGCGGTGCAGCTGATGAGCGTGCGGTGCAGCTGATGAGCGTGCGGTGCAGCTGATGAGTGGGCGCTGCAGCGTATGAGCGGGCGGTGCAGCGTATGAGCGTGAGGTGCAGCTGATGAGCGTGCGGTGCAGCTGATGAGCGGGCGGTGCAGCGTATGAGCGGGCGGTGCAGCGTATGAGCGGGCGGTGCAGCGTATGAGCGGGCGGTGCAGCGTATGAGCGGGCGGTGCAACGTATGAGCGGGCGGTGCAGCTGATGAGCGTGCGGTGCAGCTGATGAGTGGGCGCTGCAGCGTATGAGCGGGCGGTGCAGCGTATGAGCGTGAGGTGCAGCTGATGAGCGTGCGGTGCAGCTGATGAGCGGGCGGTGCAGCGTATGAGCGGGCGGTGCAGTGTATGAGCGGGCGGTGCAGCTGATGAGCGCGCGGTGCAGCTGATGAGCGGGCGGTGCAGCGTATGAGCGGGCGGTGCAGCTGATGAGCGTGCGGTGCAGCTGATGAGCGGGCGGTGCAGCTGATGAGCGTGCGGTGCAGCTGATGAGCGGGCGGTGCAGCGTATGAGCGTGCGGTGCAGCGTATGAGCGGGAGGTGCAGCGTATGAGCGGGCGGTGCAGCGTATGAGCGGGCGGTGCAGCGTATGAGCGGGCGGTGCAGCGTATGAGCGGGCGGTGCAGCGTATGAGCGGGCGGTGCAGCGTATGAGGGTGCGGTGCAGCGTATGAGCGGGCGGTGCAGCGTATGAGCGGGCGGTGCAGCTGATGAGCGTGCGGTGCAGCTGATGAGCGGGCGGTGCAGCTGATGAGCGGGCGGTGCAGCGTATGAGCGAGCGGTGCAGCGTATGAGCGGGCGGTGCAGCGTATGAGTGGGCGGTGCAGTGTATGAGCGGGCGGTGCAGCGTATGAGCGGGCGGTGCAGCGTATGAGCGGGCGGTGCAGCGTATGAGCGAGCGGTGCAGCGTATGAGCGGGCGGTGCAGCTGATGAGCGGGCGGTGCAGCTGATGAGCGTGCGGTGCAGCTGATGAGCGGGCGGTGCAGCGTATGAGCGTGCGGTGCAGCGTATGAGCGAGCGGTGCAGCGTATGAGCGGGCGGTGCAGCGTATGAGCGGGCGGTGCAGCTGATGAGCGTGCGGTGCAGCGTATGAGCGGGCGGTGCAGCGTATGAGCGAGCGGTGCAGCGTATGAGCGGGCGGTGCAGCGTATGAGCGGGCGGTAGCGTATGAGCGGGCGTGCAGTGTATGAGCGGGCGGTGCAGCGTATGAGCGGGCGGTGCAGCGTATGAGCGGGCGGTGCAGCGTATGAGCGAGCGGTGCAGCGTATGAGCGGGCGGTGCAGCTGATGAGCGGGCGGTGCAGCTGATGAGCGTGCGGTGCAGCTGATGAGCGGGCGGTGCAGCGTATGAGCGTGCGGTGCAGCGTATGAGCGAGCGGTGCAGCGTATGAGCGGGCGGTGCAGCGTATGAGCGGGCGGTGCAGCTGATGAGCGTGCGGTGCAGCGTATGAGCGGGCGGTGCAGCGTATGAGCGAGCGGTGCAGCGTATGAGCGGGCGGTGCAGCGTATGAGCGGGCGGTACAGCGTATGAGCGGGCGGTGCAGCGTATGAGCGGGCGGTGCAGCGTATGAGCGGGCGGTGCAACGTATGAGCGGGCGGTGCAGCGTATGAGCGGGCGGTGCAGCGTATGAGCGGGCGGTGCAGCGTATGAGCTAGCGGTGCAGCGTATGAGCGGGCGGTGCAGCGTATGAGCGGGCGGTGCAGCGTATGAGCGGGCGGTGCAGCGTATGAGCAGGCGGTGCAGGGGCAGGGGTGGCAAGGGGACACTAGAAGGGACAGTGGCAGGGTTAGGGGCCAGCGGCAGGGCAATAGGTGTGAAATGGACATGGGGGTGGGGAGAGAGAAAAAGGACTGAAGGAGCTAAAGTAGCCGAAAGCGAGAGAGAGAGAGTAGAGGAAAGAGAGAGGGCAGCAGTACCTGCCGAAGTAGCAGAGGGCGCCGAAGGAGATGGTGAAGAGGGAGGCAGCGAGGCCGTGTGGGACAGCGGCAGCAGAGCTGATGATGTCGGCAGAGCGGGAGACATATGCAGTGATGACGGCGTAGTGGATTAGCAGGTATGTGGTGCCCGCTATGCGCACCCCCGCTGTCCCCAACGTGCGCTGCGCCATGGACACCTGGGGGATGAGAGGGTTGGGAGGGAGGGTGTACGGCGAGATTCATAGGCGGTGATGACGGCGTAGTGGATGACAGGCGGGAGGGTGGGGGTGGAGGGGAGGGTGGGGGTGGAGGGGAGGGTGGGGGTGGAGGGGAGGGTGGGGGTGGAGGGGAGGGTGGGGAGGAAGGGGAGGGAGAGGAGAGAGGGCATGGACAGTAAGGGCCTTGGATTCGTGGACATTGATCGTGGATGGAGGGAGTGCGAGGGAGCGGAGAACTATAGCAAGGACAGGATGGTGGTGATTGAAATCGAAGGTGAAAATGGGCCTGCAGGGTAATGCAGTAGGGTATGCCAGGTTGATGAGGAACAATGTTGGATGGACATGGCAGAATGGCAGTACGGCAGCACGGCAGCACGGCAAGAGTGGGGCATGGGAGTTACCAGCGAGACACCACCGGATCCGAGCTCGCACATGGTGTTCACATTGACCTCTGCTATCAGCATGCCCGTCGCCACCTGGTGGGTGCATGGCATGGCAGACACGGCATGGAAAGCACAGGGCGGGAGAGAGGTGAGAGCGAGAGAAGGGAGGAGGGAGGGAGGGAGGGAGGGAGGGAGGGAGGGAGGGAGGGAGGGAGGGAGGGAGGGAGGGAGGGAGGGAGGGAGGGAGGGAGGGAGGGAGGGAGGGAGGAGTGCGAGAGAGAAAGGCGATCTGATAATGACAGAGAAGTTCCAGGAGTAATGGGATCGTTGTACCATGCACACCCTACTACACAGGGACTGCGTGCCGCACCATGCATGCATGATCCCTTGCACAGCGGCTGCTGTGTGTGCCATGCATAGCAGGCGTGCAGCATGTGCGCAGTACTCAAGAGAGCGGTGGCATACCATGTAGAGCCAGCAGACGATGCAGGTGGCGCAGGAAGGTAGGAAACCCGCCTCGCTCGTCACAGCTGGCAGCGCCAATATGCCCGCCCCCACCTGCCGGGGGGGGGGAGGGCGGTTGGGGTAGAGGGAAGCACGGTGAAGAGGGGGTAGGGGCAAGAGGGAGGAGGGGGGAGGAGCAAGGGGGAGATGGAAAAAGGGCCCGTAGGAGAGTGTGAGAGGGAGAGAGAATGGGAAGGCAGAGGGAGAGGGAGTACCGTGGTGCCGGCAACGAGGAGAGTGGAGCTGACCAGACTGCCTGCCGTGTGGTGGTGTGTGGGAAGGAGTGGGGACAAGCGAAATTGGGTGAGTGATGAGCACATGTGGCATGGGACAAGCAGAATCGCTCATGTGTATATTCTGAGGCACTGTGAAGTGCCTTGAGTGATCAAGACACTGAGCAAAAGCACCTTGCTGCTACCTATATCACGTTGCTCGCTTCGGCAATAGCAACCCCCTTCACCTGGCTCATGCTTCATGTTCACTTCATTCAGGTTTGAAAACAGCCGCTCGTATTCCTGTTTCCTCCCCTGCTGCCACCCCCCATCCCCCATCTCGCCCATCAGCCCCTCCCGCTCCCCCTTCTCCTCTTCTTCCGCCCCATCCCCTCTCCATCTCCACATCCCGCCCTCGCCCCCGCCCCTCCTCTTCCCCGTTCGCTCATTCTCCCATGCCCCATCCCTCCCGCTATCAGCACCAGATGGGGCACTGGCGGAGGCTACGGGGAGAGGGGAGACGAGGGGGGAGGGGGAGGGGGGGCGCGGTTGCTGTGACGAGCGGCGCACGTCTGGAGGTGAATGGCGATGGGAGGGTGGGGAGTTGTGGAGAAGGGGAGGGGGAGGGGGAGGGGAAAGAAAAGGGAGAGGGGGATGGAGATGGGGAGGGGAGGGGGAAGTGGGCATCGGGGAAGGGAGGAGGAAGGGCAGGGATAGAAAGGTAAGGTACTGGGTAGGGCTGCGAAGAGCGTACACGGGAATGAGAAGAGAACACGCAGAAGCATGCATGGACGCAGTCTCACAGAAACGACCAGCTTTCATGAAATGACCTCAGAAACTTGACGGGCTGCGTCCTGCACCTCACCTCCCTCCCCATCCCGCGCGGATTCCACGCTTCTTTCCGCCATCGCCAGCACAGTCTCGCTCCGCCCCGCTCCCCCGCCTGTGCGCCTCTCCGCGGGTCTCGCGCTCGCGCCCCCCCCGCCCTTGCCCGCGCCGACTCCACCAGCGCCCAGCCATGCGCGCATGCCCCGCGAGGCCACGCGCTGCCACGCTGGATCGGACATTCGCACGGCTCGACAGGGTGGCAGGCGATGACGTGGCAGGGGACAGACCGCTGAATGCGGTGGCAGGGAGTGGGGAGGGTTGACAGGGACGTTGATGAGGGACTCGGAGCGAGTTGAAGGAAAAGAAAAGAGAGAAATAATAAGTTTACGCATTTTGGCCTCAAGCGCGTGAAGAAAAACTTCACATTACGCACGCATTATAAGGCGTACGGATGGGGAGGACAACATCGCATCTCCGGGGATTCTGTCAGAGACGAGTTGAGAGGAAGAAGCAGAAGTACAGCCACCAGTGCCCTAGCGGCAGCGACGCGCAGATGATATTACGCGAAGCCGAAAACTACGGCGATGTATTGTCTGCCTGGAATGCGAATTTTAACTCTTGTTTGAGGAGAGGCGGAACCAAGAGATTTCTGTCTTACTAAAGAAAATTCAAGCTTGAGATAGGAAAATGATGGGTGCGCCCACAGATTTGGAGTTTGGGGAATTTCTGGGGCTGGGCTGGAATTTCGCAAAAGCGACGGTCGGCGAGCGATCCGCGATGTGGCTCGTGCGTTCGCCAAACACGTGGACTCAGTGTGGCAGGTAAGCGAAAGTCGGCCTACACACGACAGGTCGCGAAATATCAGCGACGGTTACTGCGCCTGAAGGGGCCTCACTCCCAACCACGACTCGTTTTTTCGTAAGAATAATGCAAATAACAACTACCCCCAACTCCGATAACATATCCTGAAGTAATTGGAGAGAGGGGCAATCTCACCACTACAGATGCACCAAGAAGTTCTTGGCCACCCACCCATCCACTTTGTAGAGAGTTGAGATAAAGACAAAAGAGTATGATTGCACACTAGAATAAGACAAGAGTGAACAGTGGAACTGTAGCATATGTAGATGAGCTTGATGGAAGAGAAGATGATGCTTAGAACTTGTGACTATAAAGAGAAACTTGTGTAAGATGAAATGCTTGATGAGATAAGAACTTAGAGGAGAAGAAGAGTGTGAGCTCGTTGAAAGAAATAAGAGCGGTGATAAACACTTACTTGAGTGAATCTTACTAGGGATAGTTGTAGAAGTAACTTGAAAGAAGAACTTGAACTTGTATGGTTTACTTGGGAGTGACTTCAAGCCTTGGGTTGGATGATGATCCTCCCTTGAGCTTGTAGCTTGTAGCTTCCTTATACTCTTAAGGAGTATGAGGTAGACTACTCTTCACTTGATAACTATTTTGTAGACTATGTGAGAAAGAGCCTTATGAGCATAAACTTATATTAAAGAGAGTATAGTACAAGCCTTATAAATCCATGAAGGATACATAGGCATGCATAGAGAGAGTAACCATCAATGGTAGCCTTGGAAGAGAGTAGCATGAGAGTATCAACTTTGGAGACATAGAAACTTGGTTGTTAGTGAGGAGCCTTTGTAGTTGAAGAGGAGCTTGAAGGAGAAGCTTGGAATGAACTTGAAGAGGAGCTTGATGAAGAAGCTTGAGAGGCATTGTTGTCATTGAAGAACCTTCTTGAGAAATTGTAGAGATGCTTGTTGGAGTTGAATAGTAGTAGAGCATGAGGTGGTGGTTGAGCACTTGTTGAGTTGGAGTTGTAGGCCTTGCAGTGTTGGAAGAGAACTTGGGTAACTTGTGAAGGAATGAATAGAGAGGATAGGAAAACTTTGGTGTCTTGGAAGAGGAGGTGATGTGGTAATCATGAATCCTCAAAAGATGAGTTGGCGACTTTGGTGACTTGGGAAAGGAAGGAAGGAGGAATGAATTAGAGGCATGTGGAGGTTGATGACTAGGAATTGGAAGCATGTGCTTTGAAGGCACATGGAGGGAGGAATATTGGAGGGGGTAGATGACTTGGATACTATTTGGTGAGTAAGGAAAGAAAGCACATGGAAAATCATGAGGAGTCATGTGCCTTGTGGTGGGACTTGGAGGTGAATAGAAAAATTTGTTGAAGTCTTAGTTGAGTTGGGTTAGGAATGGCTATGGTGGTTGGGATAAATTAAAGAGGTGGTTGATAGGCTTGAGTTGGAGTGGATGAGTTGGAAAAGGAAGTTTGTAACTTGGGTGGTTGGAATGGGCTTTGGAGGAGTTGAGTGGTTTGGATGGGTTCTTAGGAAAATGTGTCGAGGGTGTTTTGAGGGGAAGGGGTTGGAGTGGTACAGTAGCGTGGCACGTGAAGAGCGTGCCATTCACAACACACTTGTCATCTGGTTTTCCAGCTGCTACTCCCGCCGTCCCTCTCCTACGCGAGCCCGCACATCCATCCTATTTCGCCGTGCGTGTCGCGTGTCGCCGCCGCCACTCGGTGCGGAGATCCTGAGGCGTAGGCGCCTGGGAGATCCGCTTTTCACGACGTACGGCTTCCTCCCTCTCAGTTCCGCGATGCACGGCACCTGGGGGGACCGCTGCTGCCGCGATGCATGGAGGCAGTGATTAAGAGATTAATAGTGCAGCAATGGGATTGATGGGAGCGATGGTGATGGGAATGGCGGAGTGACTAACGAGCGAGTCGACGATGGGGGATGCCGGGTTGACGAGGAGCATCATCCGTTGAGACGGCTTCGCCGCGTGCGTTAGTCGTTGCGTTCCCGGAGAATCACGCGGGAAGTTTGTATAGCTTGCAGGGGAATTCTGTAGTGCAGTGCAGCTGTGAGGCTTGGCGCGCAGTTCCAAGTGGTCCTGCGCCTGCCGTTACTGCCCCTGCCGTTTGATCGCGTGATTCTCCCGCTCTTCTGCGCGCCGAGCGGCCATGGAGGCCGCGCTGCTGCAGAGCGTGGAAGCGGCGTGCAACGACCTGCAGGTTAGCTTCTGTTTGTTTGTTTTTGCTCTTTCTTCTTGCTCAAGACGTCCGCGCGAAACGTGCTAATGAGTTGTGCAGGCGAAGTGTGGTAACGGAGCGTGTGATTTGTCTGTGCACAAGGGAAAGGGGCGATGAGAAAGCTAGGAAGGGACGGTGCGTGCTTTGTGAAGCTGATACTGTGAGTGCATGGAGACATGCATTTTAATATTACGTGGCATAACGTGACCTGATGTCCCATGGCATGGGATGGTATGGGGCATGGTGTATGGTGTATGATGTATGGTGGCACGTGATGGCATGGCATGGCACGGTATGGACCGTTATGGCAGGTTCCTGAGAGGAGAGCAGCTGCGGAGGCAACGCTGCTGGAGCTGAGGAAATCGCCCCATGCACTGCAAGCCTGCACTCACATACTCGGTACTTACATGTGCACGCATGTGCACACTTACATGCACACATACATCCACACACATCCTCATACATGCGTGCATACCTCCACACGTAGATCCACATGCACTCTCAACCCCAAACCCAAACCCTGTATAGTACCTAAACCCTCACTCGCCCACTTCTTTACCTTCCCCCTTCCCACCCCTCCCAACCCCTCCCTCCTCCCCCTCCTGCGGGCAGACAACTCTGGCAATGCAGTGGCGTGCTTCCAGGCAGCAGCCACGCTGCAGCAGGTGGTGCTGCGCGACTGGCCCCGCATCCCCACCGCTGACCACACCTCGCTGCACCGGTACGCACCACACTGCACTGCACTGCACCTGGATGGTCCATTGTGAAAAAGTGACCTTTGCGGCGACTCTCAGGGCACCGGTGCATGAATTCTTGTAGCCTCGTGCGAGTCCCACCAGCAGAGTCATGGCAGTTCCATCTGCATGCTCATGCCAGCCAGTCTCAACGCCCCTGTATACGCACTTCTCACGTGCTCCTGTGTATGCATGCTGCTCCTACTCTCGCCTGCCGCTCATGCCACCCAACAGCTCCTCTCCTGCCTGCTCTTCACCACACTGCTCGTATCACCTCACATTCCTTTGAAAGAGAAGTATCAACGACACCCATCACACCACCCCACGTACTGTGCTGTGCGGTGCTGTGCGGCAGGTACTGCTTGGACCACATAGTGAAGCGGGCCGTAGCGAGGGAGGAGGCGCAGGGGCAGGCTGGGGGAGGAGTAGGGGGGGCGGGAGGGGGCGGGGGAGGCGATGCATTTGTGGAGCAGAAGATGGTGGCTGTGCTGGCAGTGCTCGTTAAGCGAGCCTGGTATGTGCCGTGCTCTGCCCTGCCATGCTCTGCCCTGCCATGCTCTGCCCTGCCCCGCCCTGCTCTGCCGTGCTCTGCTATGCGCTGGCCTACCATGCCATGCCGTGTCATTCCGTGTGCTTATCTGTGTGCGAACCTCTTGGTGTGTACATGCAGGATGGACGTGGACCACACCTACAAAACCGATCTCTTCTCCTCCGTACGTGTTCATGCTCATGCATGCACCTGCCTCTCCCCTCCCCATCACCCTAAACCGCTGCCTCGTGCTGCCTGCGTGCCGTCCGTGGCATGCGCATCAGCTTCCTCATTTAAAACTCCTGCAGTACTGGTTTCGGAATGTGGCATTTACAATTTCGGGATCAAGAGTACCAGTGTCTGGCTCGGAGCTCTCCATCTCTCTGCCTCGCCAGTCCCGTGTGTACCTTGCATTGCTCTATCCCCATGCCTCCCACCCACCCCACCCTCTTTGCACCCACCCGCACCCCCCCCATCAGTTGAGGGACCTGGCATCGGGGTCAAGAGGCCCTGCCGTGCAGCGAGCTGCTTTCTCTCTGCTCGACGCCCTTGTCAGTTCTCACCGTGCCATGTCCTGCCCGACCATGCCATGCCATGCCATGCCTTTTCCTGCTGCTATGCCATGCCATGTCATGCCATGCCATGCACTCGTCTCATGCGTGCATGACACACCACTCTGGGTTCCCCTGTACTTTCCCAATGGAGAGTGAGTGCCCTGTCCATCTCTACAAACCTCTGCATCTATCCCAATTTCTCCATCTCTCATCATCACCTCTGTGTGTGTCACCTTCGAGAACTCTCTATATCAACTTCTAGCTTTTCCAACTGTCTCCCTGTCTCGCCTACCCTCCCTCTCGCCCATTCCCCCACACCCCACTCAAAACTGCCCTTCTCCTCCCACTCCCCTGCGTCGCGTGCCCTTGCGCCAGGTGAGTGAGTTCAACCCGGCCAGTGCAACGCCCCTGGCCTTGCCGTCTGACTTCCACAATCGCTGCCGCATCGCCTTCCAACGCCACTTCCTCATGGTGGGTCTGTCTGTGTGCCTCCGCCTCCGCATGTGAGAGCTTTCAA